GACTTTGCCGCGTCAAGTCTCGGACCAACAAAACTTACCCATAACATACATACATATAAAGTAGAGAGGGAAATCGAGGAAAATCGAAAAACCAAAAACTGAAAACTGAAAACCAAAACAACACAGAACTTATACGATATATGTGTAATAGCAAACGGAAACGGAAGTTGCAGTGTATCATACAGTACATTTAACGTTTAAAGTGTTGAACCACAAAAAAAATACACACAATTCCCCACAAAGATCATTTCAGATTTACCAAAAGATCGCGGCTTGCGATCATCATCATCCAGATCACATCACCACATCCCTATAAAATAATCAAAAACAAAGCTAAAAAATTAAGTGGAAGCGGAAAGACATTTTAGATAGACAAAGATCAGACCACTGACAGTCGTCTGGCATATCCGGGAGTTTGAACAGCCCGGCATTACTTTAGCAGGTCAAAGGTCATTTGGGATAAGAACGAGGAGGATGATATTCCGCTGCGGCTTCTACCCTGCGGGGCAGATATTTTTAAAAAACGGGGAAGCGACGGCAAACATGTTATATTTGCATAATATATATATATATATATATTAAACCTACTTCTAAGGCATATACATATATATATAAATATATTTTTAAGACATGTTCTAAAAGCAATAATTCAAACAACAAGAACAACCACAACAAGGAGGCCGAAGCTGTGGCTTTGAAAAAATAAACCCCATTGAGGAATGAATACATAAATATACACCAATATATAAATATACACCTACACCTAATATATATACATGCATAAAACAAAACAAAGAAAATATATATATTATAAAGGGAGCGGATTAGCTAAGACAGATCTGGACTTTTCCAAGCCGAGCTAATCATTTCGCAGGCAGCTATGCCAGAAGTAGGCTACACTTCTCCAACTGCGTCCCGATCGGCGGGCGAAACTCGTATTATTTGTGGTGTTAGAATGGGCCTTGTCTCAGGAGCCTTCACCTGAGCTCGGTCCCAGGTCCGTTAACGTTGTAAGTCGACGATGCAGCTTTAAGTGTAATGTTGAGTCTTTCCCAGCTGTTTTTTCCCAATTTCCCCGCTAACGCCAATCGTTGCGAGCCTGCGCTTTCCCGCATGTCTGATTTGTAGTGCTCTCTATATATATTCTATAAGGAAGCTATATGGCCGACTAGGCGACCTATAAACTCTTATTGGTGTACCGGATCAACTTCAGCTAAAAGAATACAGAAACAACAAGCAATGCGTCCTTGTAACAAAATCAATTTCAGTCAATTAGAGAACTTCACACCAGCAAAGCACAGAAGAGCAACAACATGTAAGACAACAAGAACAACAAGCAACAAGAACATTTTTTAAAAACAAAAACCAAAAAAAACAAACCAAACAAAATCGAACAAAAACAGTTTTCATTATTTTTTTACTGAGGCGCCGTCAGAGCAAAGGGGAGATGATCGAGGAGGAGCGACGTGGAGGCTCGACGGCGCCAGGCGCAAAAGCTTTAAAATTGAACAAAAGAATAAAATAACACGAACAAGGAGAACAATTTATAGAAATCGACAAGTGAGCTCTCTTTTTTATATTGAGAACGAAGAATTGTGTGTGTGTATAAAAACAAAAGTATGCCGTAACGATTTTTTAAAAATAATGTACCCATACTTTAAGCTATACGCAACTTTCGGTCAATGAGTCAATTGGTGGTGATCGAAGCCAACAAAAAAAAAAGGAAAATATGTAAAATGGGGTTTTAGTGAGGCAAACCTTCAACCAAATGCGGCACGAAAAGACATAAAGTGTAATGTAAAATAGTTTTAAATTTGGCGATACACCAGAAGGCGAAGTTACGTAGTTACATATACGAATTGCTTTCCGTTTTTCTCTTATTATTGACTTACAAACATATCAGTTCTTATTATGTGTATGAGTATAGCAACAACATCAACAAATACGATTACAATTACGATAACGATAACGATTAATGAAATACAACTTACAACTAATATCTAGCGCTAACGAACGAAGATTCTTTCTTTTTACCAACAAAAACCCCACAACCACACCACAGATGAGCCGCCCACTTGGCCTTTTTGAGAAGCACGGAGAGCGGCACACAAAAGGCGCCTGGTACGTGGGAAATTAAAAAATAAAACAGAAAGTAACAATACGACTTGTGGGCCTTCTACACTTTGACGTGCTTTTATACGATAGCAATCCTTTTACTTACACACAAGACATTTCTATCCTAGGTTCTTTTTTATAGACATGTGTACATACACTCACACTCTCTACACTCGCCTACACATGGCCACAACTACAGCCCAAAAGACACGCCACAGCATAGACACAGCCACAGACACGGGCACACGCATATATACGATGGAGATCACATACAAAAGAACCTTCATACGAACGATCACTTGACTATTTTTGCTATAAGTAAGAAATTCCCCCCAGGAATGTGTCAGTCGGAAGTGGCAGAACCTCCTGCTGACAAAACACCTTTACTATTGACAATATCTCTTATATATTTTACACTATACTATATGGAAAATTATATATTAATATATACAAGAAAAATGAGGAAAACCAAAAGCAAAACAAATAATACATAATTGAGGAGATGACGATGAGATGAGGCGTGAACGGTGTGAGTGGCGTTAAAATTGTATTTACAAGAAAATGCGTAAATGCGTTAGGCAAGATGAAATCATTTTAATACTTTATACACATAAAAGTCAATGGGATCTTTAGAGACAAGAAAGACAAGAGAGATGAGCCAGGCAGAGGCAGGCAGGCGGAAGATGAATATGAAACTACAAGACAGACAACAAGACGATGAAGATACATTTATAAAATGCGCCGTAGCAGGGCGTCCAGTTTGTAAGTATTCTAACTATGTAAGTAAAGTAATTAAGAGGAGCGCAGGACGAGAATCAATTGAACATACATACTGTCTACGGGGCTGCGAACAGCTCCAGTGCGAATACTTTAACCCAGAAATACAGAGAGATGAAGCCAGATGCAGGGAAGTGAGATTTGATGGCATAGGATATGGCATGGGATGCGTTCAGATGCGAAATCAGTCGGACACATTGGACGGAATGCGAGGGATGATGATGAGGGATGGAGTTAAGTGGAGTGGAGTGGAATAGAAAGGAATGGAAGGTTGCTTGATGATGGATGTTGCGGATGCGGAATGCGAGATTGCCAATGTGTGTACATAAGGTCTATATATTTACGAGCATAACATAAACTGGTACAGTACTACACTTACAGCAAACTATACAAGGTAAAAAACAACATAATAATAATAATTAACAGGAGCCAGTAAACCGCAACCAAGGCGGCGGTAGGGGGACGACACATACACATAAATAGAAGCATAACGAGAATTTAATAAAAAACCATTTTTCATTTCTATAAAGAAATCCGGTAACGAATTTGTATATTTACTACGAGAAAAAAGCAAAAAAAAAAAAAAGCGACAAAAAATAAACAACAAACAAGACGAAAATTCGCGATATATACAAGATGATATATATTAAATGTCCGAAGAAGGAGAATGTCCTTCTGAGGACAGCAAATATGCCCTATATATATATATATATACATCTATATATATATATATGAGAATAAAAACCCAAAAGATATATATACACATAGTTATATAACCAAGAACAACAAATAAACATATAGTTAAATTCAATAATGTTAAGCATTCGATGAGCAAACAACCGAACGAACAGAGACAGGCAGACGGACACGCATACTGGTGGTTAAAGAAATGCAATTATTTATAAGGACCCTCGAACCGAAAAAACAGAACTATGCGGCCACCAATACCTACAACAACAACAACACCAACATCAACAACACCAATAACAACAGTTACATCAACAAACAAGAACAATTACCAACAAATCGAAGCAACAACAGCCAAGAGCAACATTTATTAAAAAGACGACAAAAGGCCAGCAAGGTATTGCTCTTTTGCAGTCCGAATTTTTTAACACTTCACCATACACACAGCACACACACCATAGACACACACATACACCCACAACCCCCCATTACACACACTGTCCGCAATATGTATATGCAACAACAAAAACAAGATGAATGCGAACAACTTTAGCAGCAAATTAAAAATCACTTTGTTCACAATGTGCCACGTACAGGGAGCGATGGGAGATTCTTGGGTATATACACACTCGTATCGTATCGTATCGTATCGTACTATAACCCTCGATCGGGCTAAGATCGCCCAATAAAAATCGGCAGAATCAGCAAGAGCAGCAGCAGCAAACCGCATATTAAACCAATACAGAAGATGAATAAGAGATAGAGAGAAAGAAGTGCAGGGGAAGGGAGGAAACAAAAAGCGAAAAACAAAATGAACAGAAAACTAAAAACATGATTTTAAACAAAAATGAAATTAAATAATGGCATAATAAGTTAAGCTAATGGTACATAAGTTTAAAAAACAAACGGCAGAAAGAAATGCTCTAGAGCAAAAAAAAAAACCAAAAACAACAACCAAGAAGAACAAAAACAAGAAAGGAAAAAAACCAAGACAAACAAATAATATATATATATATATAATAAAAATTATAATGAAATAACTGAGAAATAAATAAATTAATTCATAATGATAAATAAACCAATATGAACATTGTTCAAAAACATATGCAGTCCAAGTGTTTCTTTTTAATTGGGTATGAAGGGGATTATGGAGGACACACTTTCAGTTTCATTTTGCAGCAAACTAAATTTAATTTAATTAAGGCATTCGATTTCCACCAAAGCAAACATAATTTGACCTTGCCTTTGAACTCTTTTCCAAATAAAGGAAAGGAATACAAACACGACCTCGTTCAACAAACAACAACCATTTTATTCAACAGGATATTTACAGGACATCAAGCGGGGCAGTAAATACAAATCCACTTACGATATCGAAACGTACACTTGGAGTGCATAATGCAGGATTAGCGCCACTCAACTCAGCTCAGCTGGACTTCTTCAGCTTCCTGGCCTCCTTGTGCTCATCCCACCACCTGGCATACCATTTGGCACTCCGCTCGGCACTCGTGTCCGGATCGAAGAGCGGCATGTAGTCCATGTGGATGGAGGCGCGCAGGCGATTGTACATCAGCATCGATGACGTGTAGGAGGCGATGGCGCGCAGAGAGTAGGGCAGACGGTACTTGGTATAGGGATATGCAATACGCACCACCACCTCCAGCAGGAAGGCCAGGAAGAAGAACAGGAAGTGTGGAATGTACCACCAGCTGGTCTTCACCTTGAACCGTTCCCCAAGCACGGCCATCTTCTGGACAAACCGTGAGACATCATTGATGCCCGTGTCGTCGGTGACAAAGACTGGGAGTCCATTGACCGCCTTGTTGGATATCTTTAAAGCCTGGTAAGCGCAGATGTGTCCATGGGCCACATTTCCGGCGTAAACTAACTGTTGCTTGCCTCCTACGCCTGCAATTCGTGGAAAAACCCAGCTCCGGGTCGACAGGTAGTCGAAGATCTTTGTGATGAAATGGGAATCGCACTCGCCGTAGGTCAGCGGTGCACGAATGGCGCTGGTGGCCAAATACTCTGCAAGGGATTAGAGATTTAATAAAGAAATCTATACGATCAAGGTGAAAACTACTCACCCGTTTGGTTCTGCAAAGGTGCTCCATTCGAGTTCAACACTATGTTCTCTGCCCTCAGCTTGCTGGAGGCGTACCCAGCTATCAGGAACTGATTGTCCTGCTCCCACAGAGTGGAACTGTCCAGTGTGGGCGTGTCCGTCTTGGATTCCGTGGAGTTAATCACTGCCGAGAAGGTGCTACGACCTTTGAAGGGCACAAAGCACACGGAGGTGCAGCTGGTGTAGACCAGACGCTTCACATTGTTTTGGATGCACAGATCCACCACGGCCAGGGTTCCTTAATTATATAAAATTTTAGGGATTTTATTGCAGGTTTAGTGGTTCCACTAGGCGGATACGTAATATTACTTTAAAAAATACGTATACGACTAGTGGAACCACCACCCATAAAATTAATGTTTTAAAAAGAGAAAAGAAATCTTTTGGTAGCCTGTCTTAGTTAAAAAAAGATTAAAATAATAAGATAACGTTTTCACCCAGGTTTTAAGGTTAAAGGTTAAAGTTTTACTTTGAAAGTCATACATTTTATGTATCATTACTATTAAATTTCCTTTACATTTCCCTTTTGACTACTTAACCAGACTGTTTCGAAATCAAAGGCCAGCACTTTTTTAAGGTAATAAAACTTAATCACAAATTAGAGTGATTTAGTTGGTTTCCACAGGCGGAAAAGTACCTGCTCACTCACCGTTCACATTCACGCGCTCCAGTTCATCGTAGTTGGGCGGATACTCGATTTTCACCGAGGCGGCACAGTGGAAAACCCCGTCAACGCCCGCGAAGATCGGCCCTAGGGTTTCGGGGTCACCGCCGATGTCACCCACAAAGGTGCGCAGCAGGGGTGTGTCCGCATGCCCGATGTTGTTCTTGTACGGTACGATGTCCAGCGAACGGATCTCGCGGATGCCCAGCTCCTCCTTCCGCTCCAGCAGCTGCTTGATGAGGTGCTGACCCAGAAATCCACTGCCGCCGGTTACGAGCACCACTTCGCCTGTATTGCCGCCACCCATTGCGTCCGGGGGGTCAAAGTGCACTGCTTTTACTGATTTAACTGCAACGAGACCGAATGCAGGTTAGCATAGCTACCATCATAGCTTGGCCACTTAAGCCGAGTTTCCGTGAGAGTGGCTTTTATGGCCGGCGGCGTCTGCAGCTGCTGCTGCGGCTGCGGCAGCCCCATAAACCCGGCCACATAGCTTGCCATTCCGCATAAACTGGCTCATCATCAGTCAGCCTCAGTCCAAGACTCGGGCGACCTTCTTCGAGGGTCAGCGGAGCAGGTTTCCGAATGACTCGGCGCGTTTTCAAATGCTCTCGGCTTACGTGACGACGCACTGCCCCCCGCTAATAAAGGTGGCGAATTATCTACATACATATTACATTTAATTCATGCTTTGCGCAATCCCCATTTCCTTGATTACTAACCTGGGACACTGCTAAGGTAATCTACATATTGATTGTGGTAAGTATTGCCCTAGACTTTGAAGTGTAATTAAAAAGAGCTTTAACCTAGGTCTTGAGATAATAGAGATTTATTTTAGACTGATTTTTATATAAGAAAAATATAAGATAAAGAAAAGATTTTAATAAGTTTATTAATGTTATTTAAATCAATTTTATGATTTAAATTATGACTTGTTTAATAAAGAATTTGTCTTGAGATATTTTAAATATGTTGGGAAATCAAAGTTAAAACATAACATAAATAATAAGAATTTTAAATAAATATTTTACATTCTCAGTTAACAAATTAAGGAAATACCAAATTCGATACCCTATTAATATCTTAAAGATAATGATTCATGTATTGTGTTATTATATTAAAAGTAATAAACCAAAATGGTGCCCCTTATTCCTATTTTTACAAAACCATTCGAATAGTTAATAGTTAACCATAAACTCTTTTAGTTTGCCATAAAACTTGACCCTAATTAACTTTCACATTTTAAGTAGTCACTTTTACTTAATACATTTTTTATAAATCTATTAAAAATATTATGAAAGAATAAAGGCTTTAAAACCACCACAAACTTCACAACGAAGGTCAACGGTTTTAAAAACTAGTAATTGTAATTGAAATAAAAATAAACCTATGTTTAGGCAAATAACTATAGATATCTGGTTACATTTGAATTTCCCAATAAAATATAACAATTTAAAAATATAAAAAGGCAAATACATCGCCCAAAAATCAATATAAAACCATCGAGCATTGGCATTTTGGTTTTTATTAACCAAAGATTGTATCTAGCTTTCGATTTCTTAGTTTCGCCTTAGTGTGTTACTTGGCCACGGTCAACACTATTGTGCATTTTGAGTTGAAGTTTTATTAGAGCCAGACTCCGAAAAAAACAACGCAAAGGCAACATCTACTGCCAACAATGAAATGGCGACAATATCAAAGAGAAACACGGGTAAATGTGCTAATGTTGTCGCTGGGCTAACTGGGATTACAACACAGCCGTCAAACTAGCATCAAAATAATTACCGCGAACTGGTTTCCGCGTCTCTCTATTTCGACATCGAACCGTCAAGCACTTTACGTTAGCCTAGCTATGGCCAGGCCATGTTTTGGCCACTTCAACTAAATGCACTTTTATCCATCTAGAAGCGGTAAATCTAAATAATTATGGAGAAACTCCGCTTACCAGGAGACAACGAAACTTTCTTGGATGGCAAACCTTCGAGCTTGCCTGCAGACTTGAAACTGTCCGATTTGATTTGGCCATAAACAAAGCTGGCCAAGACCGAGACGAGCCCAAAGAGCGTTGCCAGAGTTGCCAGTGTTATCGATCGCAGCTATCGGTCAAAGGCGCCAACAATCGAACGATTTTTAAAACAAATTTAAAGACCATCCCGTTTGGTAAAAGGTAATTTTTATTCAACAACAATTAAATGATGTGGACAGTAGTAAGTACGCTT